TGCTTCCTCGACTTCTTCCTCAGGCCACGCCGGACAAAGGATGGAGCTGCTTCCGCAGTTCATCCAAGGATGGTACCTCCTCGCCGATGCCAACCTAGATTCGGGAGAACGGAACTTGGTTATGACGGCGTTGGGAGGGAACTTCGATCCCCTAAGAGTGGCCCAGGAGCTGCGGAACCAGTTCTCAGAGGGAGACATACGTCGGCGCGACACCACGCGCCGACACCAGAGCTACCTCGGCGAGTTCATGGACGACGAGGATGGCGACACCGAGGCCTATGGCGAGGCCGCGAACATGGACTTCCAGGCGGAGGGCATGTCCGAGGAGGGCGTCGCGATGATGGCCGACGCCAACGAGCTCGCCCAGGAGGCCATGGCGACCATGATCAATGCACGGAGGACCCTGCGAGATGCAAGACAGAAGCAACATATGGTTAAGCAGAACAGGAAGTACTACCAGGGTGCCAACCGAGGTGCCTCAGCTTCCTCTTCGACTACCAAGCCTCGGGATGACAGCCAGATTGAGTGCCTGCGGTGTGGAGTGAAAGGCCACCGAGTGGCCCAATGCCCCCACAAGCCACTGAGCGAGACCCGAGGCCAGTCCCACATGGCGGAGACCGGCGACAATGAACCTCAGCAAGCCCCGTTTGTGTGCTATGCCGAGGCCTTTGCAGGATATGCCTCCACGGCGGAGCCCATGTCGGCCTTGAGCGCGGAGGACTCCACCAGCGGCCTGAGCACGGCAGAAGCAGTGNNCAAGCCACAAAGGGTTTTTCTGGACTTCGAGGGGTCGACAACCGCGACCCACCCGTGTTCACCTTCGGAAACTCCTCGGAGAACAGATGCCTCAGCACAGCCCGCCTCCAAGTGACAGCAGGCGGAGTCCCCGGCGAGATGCAGATCCACACACTGGAAGGCGGGGAGAGCCCCATCTTGATGAGCATCGAAACCTTGAGGAAGGTTGGAGCAATCATCGACTTCCAGCACGACCTGGCCGTGTTCCGCCACATCAACCCCTCTCGAGTGCTGAGGCTGGTCCGAGGAAAATCCGGCCACCAGCTACTTCCCTTGTCTGAGGACTGGATGAATAATTCAGTCGTCGCCACAGGCCCCGTGCCGAGTTTAGAGGCGTACCTCCCCGAGTAGGGACAGCTCCTTCCTGTTTTTGGTCCTGACAAAAGTGGGAAGGTCATGTGTAGTTCAGGAAGGGTATTATCTAACAGTGTTTCTGCAATTCACTCTGGGGAACAAGGGTTGAGTTGTAGTGGCAATGTTCAGATTGGGGTTTTTGATGGAACCTTAGGATTGTCTGAGTGCCGCACGCCAGACTGTGAGTGCCACACAGCCGCGAGTGTTGGACTACAGCCGCAGCAAGATGCTCATTCCCGTGTCCATTGCAGCAATCCAGGCTCAGATTGTAGTGTGCAACACAACCGTGGTCCAACCAGTCGGCATGGACAAGATGACGCAAGCGCAGATGGTGTTGTCTCTCCGGTCCTACGGGGAGGAACCGCCAAAGGGCTGGAGCAAGGTCCAGCTGTTGTCCCGCCTCACCGAGCTGGAGGCGAGTGGGGAGATCACGGCCCCTCTTCCGGCAAGCAAGAAGGCGACCCCTCTCGAGCTCGCCATCAAGGACTTGAACAAGGCGGGGATCCGCAAGGCGACCCTCCAGAAGTATGTCACCGACGAGTGCGGCATCGAGATCACCGGGAACGAGACTATGACGATCCTCCAGCAGAAGGCAATGACCCACTTGCTCATGGCGACGGACCCCGTGGGCGAGGACAAGATGGGCTTCGGGAAGTACGCGGCCCAGACCTATGCCACCGTCAAACAGAACGATCCACAATACTGTTCATGGGCGACGGTGACTTCCAAGGAGGGCGAGTGCTCCCAGTACTTGCGCCGGTTCGTGAAGTGGTTGGAGATGCCCGAAGCCAAGGAGCGAGCGCACAAGGTGGACTTGAACAAGATCGTGCCAATCTCCAAGGCGAAGATGTTCAACAAGAAGCCCGGCACGGAGGATCCCACGACCGGCAAAGGCTACCCCGCGACAACACCAACGACCTCGACCTCCCCGACGATCACAGCGAAGGCGACCTCGTCGAGTGCACCAGATCCCATGGTGCAACAGTTGGTCCAAGCAGTGACGGCCCTGGCCAAGGAGGTTCAGGACTTGAAGGACGACAAAGCCGAGAAGCCGCGCAAGATCATGGCGAAGGCCGATGCGACCATGGAGGAGGACGCGCACCAGGACGGGAGATCAGTATGAATGCGGCTAGGGCTCTTGAGCATAGGGCTAATATGGTGGTTCCCAATTTGTTTGGTGATTTGATTGGAAGAGAACGTCCTGCACTGCTGGAAGTGTCCTGTGATTCAGAGAGTTCCTTGTGTGACATGTTCAACACGAGGACGAAGCGAAGTGAGGCAGCCATAAGGAGTGCCCTATGGGACGGGCACGATCTTTCAAAGCCTGACGGTCTGAGGGTGGTTCTTGAGCAAATCCATAGCCTGAAGCCCAAGCACGTGTGGATTGCCCTACCTACTCAAGCGTTCAGCTCTCTTCAACACCTCAACCAAAGGACCCCAGCCCAAGTTCAAGACCTCAAGGCCAAACGAACCCTTGCCATACAAGTCTTCGAAAGCACAGTGGAACTGGTGAAAACATGCATCCAGATGGGGGTCCAGGTTTCCGTTGAGCTTAGTGAAAGGAGTGAGGCTTGGAGGCTTCCGGTTCTTCAGAGGTTGCGGTTTGAGATGGG